AATTAGAGGAGATTCTTGAAACTCAACCATCTTGGTGTTCCTGTTTACTACCTCCTGCAGAGCAGGCATAGTTGACAGGACCATGCGATCGACAGGAACATGAACTTTAAATTTAAAACACGCCTATAAGATGAGGAGAAACAGTCAGAAGATATACTCGTAAAGATTGTAGTATAGTACCTTAAAATCTGGTTCATCCCAGCAAGGGAAGCACCTTCGTGCATCAGCAGGCTCAAAAACTGTTACAGCCATGTTTTTCTCAACCCCTCCGCTCTTGTAAGTGCTGTGCAGCGGAAAAGTTTGTTATTGAAAAATACTGAATACCAGTGTACCTTCGATAAAATGCGTCAAGCTTCTCGTTGAGCAATCCATGATAGTCGATAAACAGAGTTGCTTTTCCTACATGCAGTTTTTTTTCACCGAAGTTCAACACTAGCAGTTCATTCTCTTGATCGACTGTAGATGCCGCTGGATGAACGATCTGTACAAACCAATGTGCACATCAAGACAAATTTCAAGCAGAACACTCGAAGGCAGAGAGGAAAACCTCATCGAAATCCTCCACATAGCGCAAACATAGCGATTCAGTTTCCAGAATAAGATCCGCAACATTCAGGACAACTTTGGAAACTGGCTCCACAATGTCCAGGAGAATTTGGAGCTTGCCTTTGAATGCACAGGCATCGAGATCCACCCATAGCTCCAGCTCATAGCGACGAGGCAGCACAGTTTTGGGCAATCGACTGCTCGCCATAGCTGAGCCAAACTTTCTTCCCTCAACTTATATTACAAACAATAAAAACGGATCTGCGGTCAGGATCAAACGGCCGAGGACGGCCCAGATTTTTTTGTGGTGGATTCGACGGCACGATCGCGTGGTCCGCAGGGAAAAATCAGGATCGGACGGCTGTGAGGTTTTCACCGCGTGCGCGCCCAATCTCACGAAATCGGGCATCTTGGGAATATGCTTCTGTTGAGCTTTTTCATGTGAATCAAAATTGGCGAATTTTGAAGCAGCTGCTGAAAGTATGAGAAACGATTCCTGAGCTGTTTAGCTTCACTCATTTTCATGTTCAAAATTGAAGTGCAGCTTCACTGTCCTGATCATTCATGGGCCAAGTTGTGTGTGCTGCAAATTGAAGGTAAGTCCTGAAAACTAGGATTGAGCTGAGCAGCCGAGTGGGAGACATATTTTCTGAAACGGGCTGAGGTGTTGAAATTCACCATCAAGGGCGTCAACTTGGATTTTCTGGGTTCCTTGTGGATGAGATTGTCGACCTGGCTTTTGTGATGAGTTGCCTAAAAAATTGGCATTAGTGGTTGCAGCAGAGCTTGCAATCCAATAAACAGTCTACTACAAAAGTGAACGTCATTTTTTCAAGAAGTTACAATTAAGGGTCTAAAACAGGACTCAGGAGAACAAGGGAGTGGTGTTCATTTGAACAAAGGCAATGAAACAGCTGAGGAAGTACTGCAAGCTAGAGCACAAACCTCAAAACATGAGTGCAGACA